ATGGGTGTGGGCAATAAGTTTTGAAATGATAGGGCCCGTGGCACTGCAGACATGTTAAGAACCCTCTGCCTTAAACCTTAAGAAGAATTTAATAGGTCTGAACAGTTATTAAGATTTTAGTTTATTTTCTATTGCCCCAACACAACAGACATAAACGAGTGCACCAATGCCAGTTTGAATCTTTGCTCATTCAAGCAAGGCTGTCTCAACACTAACGGAAGTCACATCTGTTCCTGTCCAGATGGTCAGAAATTGGACAATGATGATAGAACTTGTATTGGTAAATAGAAAAGTGTTATTGTTTTATGTTTTTATGAGATCAAGATTTTTAATAAAATTATCAAACTCCATTTCTTCTGTTAACCCAATGAAAAAAAAATTATCCAACACCAGTTCTTCTGTAAAGTGAATGTAAAAAAAAAAAAAGTTATCTAATTCCATTTCTTCTCTTAACCCAATGAAAGAAGAAAAAAATTATCAAAATATATTTCTTCTGTTGACCCAGATTTTTCAAAATGCCAAAGCTCAAAATTATTATTTTATCCCAGTTTTCTTGTTTTTATATATATATATATATATATTTATTATTGATGCCTCAACAAACATCATATCCATTACCTGAATATTCTTATAAAATGAAGCTTTCAATGCAATTCAAAATAATATTAATATTAGCTATTTAAATTCTTGCAGTTGTGGCTTTTATACACCTAGTTAAGCATCCCTCCCCCAACTGATAACCTAACAGTTACACATTTTATTATATATATTAAAGTTACAATTTGATTTTGTCCATAAAATATCTGGGTTTTTTTCATTTACGAGTCTCACGTCTTTACCTTTAAAAAAAATAAATCAGAATGTGATGAATCTACCTGGGGCTTGAATTGCATACACAATTGTTCATGTGGATTTGGCTCCATTGACTGTGATCCTGCTACAGGATGCATTTGCAGGAGTGGTTTCACAGGTTAGAATATGTGGTTATCAGCTTCATTGACTATTTGACTGCTTAATGTCGGTTGGCTTCATTTGAATTAAAAAAAAAAAAATTTCAGGACAGTTTTGCAGTGAAGATGTCGACGAATGCGCTACGGGTCAGCTCACTTGCCCTGGTAATGAAGTATGTGTGAACTTACCTGGGAGCTCTAGATGTCAGTGCGGAGAGGGACTTTTCAAGAAAAATGGATTCTGCATTGGTGAGTGTAAAAATATTTGTATAGCTCAGTTATTTATTTTTTTGATGGATATCATATCATATTTAATTTAAGAATGCAAACTAATTGTCCATGAAGTCAATATACTCACTAGTATCAACAAATTGTCCAAGAGGTCAATGTACTCACTAGTATCAACTAATTGTCCATGAGGTCAATATACTATCACTTAATTGTCCATGAGGTCAATATAATCACTAGTATCAACAAATTGTCCATGAGGTCAATATATTCACTACTATCTGTACCAAGTGTTTTGTCCATACTCTAAGATATAAATGAGTGTGAAGACAAGCGACTCCACAGCTGCAAACAAGTCTGTACTAACTCATTTGGAGGTTTCAACTGTTCCTGTTATCCAGGCTATGCCTACGATGATATTACAAACACTTGCACAGGTGAGGAATGCTTTTTAGAAAACAATGTATCCTAACCAGATTTTATTTTTTTAGAGAAGGGAAAAAAACTTTTAGGAAAGGACCCACAATGAATAAATACATAACTTATATAAATAAATAATAAATAAATACATAGATAATAATAAATAATGCTAAATAAATAGTAAATAAATTAATCAATTAATTAAATAATTTTAAAAATTAATTAAATAAATAAATAATAATAATAAATGAATAATAAATAAATAAATTAAATAAATAATAATAAATAAATAAAAAATTAATTAATTAATTATATTAATTATATAATTATAAATGAAAATGGTAGTGCTCATTTTACTTCCTTTTTGCACCATTTAATAATTTTAGATAGTTTAAAACATTCCATCCAATGAAATACAAATTGGTTAAACAGCACCAAGCAATTTTTGTGTGGCTTCATTGTTCTGATTAATTTTTAAAAAAATGTATTTTTTTTACTTAAGATTATCCAGGCCACCCATATTAATAGTTTGCTTGAATATATATTTCAGGTTAGGCCAGCAAAGAACATATCACACTTAAAATAAATTGGACTGTGTTCTTTATTTGTGAACCCAATATAATATTTAATACTGTAGCAGCAAATAAATAAAAGGATTGTGGCTAATCACAGATCAGTTGTAAAAATATAAATAAACTGATTTAAATTCATTTAGGTCTTTTAATGTTTTAAAAAAAACAACTGTGAGGGTTTATATAAGATGAAATTAGCTAACTATCAAACCTTTGTGTTTAGGACCTCAATTAAAAATGTTTTAACTAAATTAAGTCAAGAGGACTGCAGTAATTTCAATTAATGACAATGGTGATCAGTGAACACATCCATCAGATCAGTGGTCACATCCATCAGATCATTGATCACATCCATCAGATCATTGATCACATCCATCAGATCATTGATCACATCCATCAGATCATTGGTCACATCCATCAGATCATTGATCACATCCATCAGATCATTGATCACATCCATCAGATCATTGATCACATCCATCAGATCATTGATCACATCCATCAGATCATTGATCACATCCATCAGATCATCAATCACATCCATCAGATCATTGATCACATCCATCAGATTACTGATCACATCCATCCGATCATTGGTTAAATCCATCAGATCCTTAATGCCAGCCATCTGATCATTGATAACATCCATCAGATCAGTGATGACATTAATGATCTAATTAATCACATCCATCAGATCATTAATAAAATCCATCATATCATTTATCAATCCCAATAAATCATTGAGCAAACTCATTTGACTGTTGATCATATCCACCAGATTATGGATCATATCCATCAAATCATAGATCACATCCATTAGATCATTGATCACACTCATCAGATCATTGATGACATCCACATTATCATTGATTTCATCCACCATATCATTGATCACATCCATCATATCATTGATCACATCCATCATATCATTGATGACACTCATTAGATCATTGATCACATCCATAAGATCTTTGAAAGGTAAAGTTATGTTGTATGCTCCCCACAGATATTAATGAGTGTGACTTCAATATAACCTGTAGTGAGATTTGTACAAACACAGAGGGCAGCTACAGATGCTCTTGTCCATCAGGACAACCGCTTCAGCCGGATGGAATCACTTGCGGAGGTATAATGGGATATAATATTACTTTTGTTAATTTTTACATTTCCCTTCCTTGACCTGTCCCCTTTTAACACAATGGATGGAGTAGATGATATTATGTTTATTAGAATATTTGTTGCTTCTTCAGCCTTAGAAGGAATTTATTGGTGAGATATTTCAACCTGCTTATTGTTTTCTTAAGAAAATCGGTAACATACAAGATAATTCATGGAATCCTTTATTTTAATTATAATATTAAGATAACATGGGGCAATGTGTGTTTTTTTTTCTTATAAATAAATGTCTTTAAATGTTTACAGTTAGAGCTTGCCTCAGCAGTGAATGTCCAGAACACTTGAAATGCAGGAGCTTAAACAACACAATCGAATGTGTTTGCTTTAATGGACTGAGACCGAATTCAGATCTACAATGTGAAGGTTGGATGCGAATCTAGGAATCTTACCAAATTCATAGTTACAGTTTTTGTTTTTTTAAGTTTAAATATCATACTGTAAGAACTACTTGCTTTTTAATGTGACACTTTTACAATAGGTGTTAATTGTACACATTTTTAAAGATTTGTATATAAAATTATTGGATAAATATATTTATACTAGCGATAGCTCCGCAAACAGTGAAATTCCCATCTACTAAATTTACTTGATAAACCATGCATTCAAGTAATGATGCACTTTATGAGATTCCCAATTAGAGCTCTCCCCGCCCCTGAACTCTATTAATATTATGATGTCCCACTCCCCTTTTACATAGGAGATTTATTACATAAAAAGTTATAGCCCACCAAACATTGAACGTCCCATCTACTACAGTTACTTGACAAAACATGCATTCAAGTAACTCACTTTATAGGAATCCCAACGAGTGCTCTCCCAGGTTCCTTTCTGCACACTTTTTTTTCACGCCCCTGACCTATATTATCATTCTAATGTCCGGGACTTTTTTTATTAGCAGATTAATAACACCATATTTAAATTGAGACTATTTCCGTACAAAAGAAAATATTACACACCAAACGCACATGTGGTAATTTTAAGAATCTCATTTAGCACAGTTGCCGAGAATTTTATTAAATGAAATCAGTGCGTTAGTGACATTGTTACTGTAGATAATTAAGTATGTTGATATTTTGAGAAGTGAAAATGCATTTGATGCAGATCTCGATATCCTCAAAAGACTGCAACAGAGTTTTAACTGAAAAGACCGGGACAATTATGTCATCGTTTTACCCACAAAAATACCCGGATAACTGCAACTGCACCTGGACCATCAGTATCAAAGACACCAATGCCATCATACTGCTCAGGTGGGACCCTCTTTTTAACTTGGACTCTCTTAATCACTATCACCGGTATATTAAGGCATAATCATGTTCACAATAAAATTGTAAAATTGTTTTCTTAAATTTATTGTTTTATCATATTTAACATGTTATTACATTTAAATATTATCTCAATATTGAAAATAAGAGTTATCTTCATTATATTTTTTTATTCATTTTTTATTATTCTTTTTTAAAATAATGATTTACTTTTATTGCACTTTGTTGAACTTGGTTATTATCTGGAGGACTGGATTCAAACCAAAGATGGCTCTAAGCTGAAACGTTCACGTCTTATTGTCCTGTCTTTTGATTCAAGCTTCAAAATAACTTGTTTTACTATTTCATGGAGCTTGGTTGCTCATCATCATAGATTTATGTTGTAATATATTCTATCAAACACTAAAAAAACAAAAACAAAAAACAGTATTGATCAGTTTGATGTGGAAGGTTGCCCCTTTGATTATCTCGAGATCTATGATGGACCAACTGCAAATGACCCGCCCCTAGGCCAGTACTGTGACGTTGCTCCGGGAACTGTGAAATCCACCGGAAACTCAATGCACATTGTTTTTTACTCGGACTCATCTGAAAACAGAAATGGATTTATTGGATCATATGTTGCAGAGAGTAGGTCAAGGCTTGACATAATTTTTTTCCTCTCTCTCCCAACCCCTTACATGAACCCACATTTCATAATGACCCTTTTCAGTTCAATTATTGCAGTAATGCTTATTATTTTCAGATTTCAGTACTAGTTTTCATACCAGTATCTAAAATTAAAAAAAAAAAAAATTAAAATTAAAACTGGGGAACTTCTGCGCAATGACAATAACTGTGGCAATTTATTTGTGAATGGCCGCTAATTTGAATGTTTACAATTTCCAACTTCCACTTCCACTTGATTGAAAGTGATTTTAAAATTATGACATTTTAACATAAAAGCATGATTATGATAAATGTATTTTAATATATGAGTCATCATTTATTAAATCTTTTGTTCAGCCCAATGCAGACAAAAGAATTGTTCCCACACTTGTGAAGTGCTGTCAACTAAACCATGGAGAGAAGAATGTCTCTGTTCTGAGTGGATGAGGCTGGATGAAACGGGAACCACATGTTTAGAAATTAATGGTGGGTTTTTGAATATACATCAATCCCAATGATCAGTCTGATGGCTTTCAAAGAAAAATATTGAATTGATAGTCAAAACTATTTAATGAAATCTAAAGACAGGACTGATGAAAGGAAGTTTTCGGCCAGTTGCCTGCTTCAGCAGACAATACAAAACAAAGAAACGAGAAAGAATTAGAAACTTATTTTTTTAAAACCTTAATTGCCAGGAGATCTGAATGTTGGGAAACAACAAGCTCTCTATGTTCACAGACGGAAGCGCTCTATTCTCATTGGTGTGTGGCTCTAATCTTACAATTTTACATTAATAATACTTAAATTTTCTTTTACCTCCTGTAAATCTCTTTGCTAGTACTCAGCACAGAACTATATGTTACCCACGCTTTAGTTTTGAACTACTTAACCTCCATCTCAAAATTAAAGCACTTCCGTTTTTAAACATAAGGCATTTGGTATCCAACATTGAGATCTCCCAAAACATACGTTTTTGAATTCATTTCTAATTCTTTGTGGTTTCTTTGTTTTGTCATGTCTGCCAAAGAAGGCGAACAGCATCTCTTTTTTGATGGTCCTGTCTTTTCATTTCAAGCCTAAACATACCTCCTCCCACTGTTTCCTTCACACGGCTTGAACGCATTCCCTCACATATTATCCTTTAATCAAATTTGTAAAGTTATTTAGTAAAAGGTATCTATAGTATGTAAATGGTCATTTGAAAAATTATGTGTCCAAAAATATGTACTATTTGAATGAGTGCCTTTTTTTTCGATTTCGATCATTATGCATGTACATTTTAATAAATATTTCTTTTTCTATAAATATGCAAAGGTTAAAATGTGTATCTTTCATTTGACTGTTACAGCCTGCAATACAACAACAAATGAGTCATCCGGATACCTTGTGAGTCCTGGATATCCAGAAAATTACCCGGATGCAACGTGCTGCCACTGGACGATTGAGGCAGTTGAAAATGCTGTAATAACACTGAGGTAATGGTGGCAGTGAATGTGTCTTTTAAGCCAATGCACTCACTCACTGTTTCCAGCATGGTGTCGGTAGCAGTTGTAAAGCTATTTCCAATGGGAACACGTTCTTATCATCTCCTGCACTAAGGACAGTAATTAATCAGCTAACATCTCAGCAAGATAAGAATGCATTATCAGATCTCAACACTTGAACTGAGTTGATAGGTTTTGATGCACTGGTTTTCAGTACCATTAACATTTGATAGGTTGTGATGTATTGTTTGTCAGTACTTTCACCATTTGATAGGTTGTGATGTAATGTTTGTCAGTACTTTTACCATTTGATAGGTTGTGATGTATTGTTTGCCTGTACTATCACCATTAACTTGAAAAGCCAGTCTACTAATTTTAGCCTACTATGCATTATTAAATTATGTTTTTCAAAATATATTCTCCCCGTTCAGTTTTTCTGCATTTGCTTTGGAAAGTGGAGGGGACTGCACCTATGACTATGTTCAAGTTTTTGAAGGTACCAACCAAAATGCTTCTCAACTTGGCCTATACTGTGGCAGTGAGATGCCATTGACTTCAATTTCAACTGGTACTGGAATGCATATTATTTTCAAAAGTGATGATGGTGTGAATAGTGGAGGCTTCAAGGCACAGTTTTTCATCAGCTAGGCCGAGAGTAGATGCAGAGCCATATATCCCAATTAAATTATCAATAGCAAAACTGACATAGAAAGTAAAAAAAATATCCCTATAATTTAATTTTTAAAATGATATTTTACAAACTTTTGGAGGAAAAAATTTATTATATAGAAACAATAATAAAAAAAAACTCATCATTTTTATAAAATGACTTTTCAACTGAAGTTTTTACTTTTCCAAAGAGGATAGAGGGTGTTTAATATTTTTAAAAAATAAATACCTTATTACCAAATTTTTTGGAAATCTCATTTCGGAAAAAATCCGAAACAAAATGATATTTCTTTATCTTCCATCTTCGTTTGTTATAAAAATAACTCATAACTTTAGAACTGATGTGTGTCCCAAAAATACCTAAAATATATATAAATTATCGTCTTCTGCTTTATTGCTAAAATTTTATTTAATTTAATCGTCTATTATATTTTCATTCATTCTATAAGATAAGTTAAGATAATATTCTTTTATTGATCCAAATAATTGGAATTTAAAAAAAAATTTCTTTGTACCCATTCATTTTCAGCACATAATTAAACACACATTTTAACCAAGACAGCATTTTACAATAAGGGCAATTTAAACACAAGACTCTAAAGCATTTCGCTAGTGTAAAAATCAGCCGTCATTTACCCCAAAAAAAGTTTTAAAATGAACTTCTAATTATCTAAAGTTTCCCCTCACATGTACATGTAGTTTTTAACTTTTTTTACATTACCTAAAACTTTATTGATTGATTTTAAGACGCCTCAATGTAAAAAATTATTTGAAGAATGGGTAGAGCTAAACATAAAATAAAAAAAAAAACACGTGTCAACAGCTTTAAAAAAAATATGTAAGTTCTCTGTTGTATTTTTACTCTGGTAAATATGTAAAAAATATGTAAGTTCTCTGTTGTATTTTTACTCTCGTAATGTCTAGACATTTCCTTTCACTTTTGAGCATGTTTACATTTCCTAATCTCTATTTGTGACCAAATATTTAGGATCAAATTTCTCAATATTTATCTAAATTTGTGCAAATGTGCATTATTTGAAGCTCATTCCTAAGCTTTACGTAAAATGCATGCAATTGAGAGACTGATTTTTATTGACAAATTCGCAATGTTGTCTGTGCATTTTTTGGGGCATTTGATCGGTTTGTAAATGCCAGGAAAATGCTTACAAAAATCATGTTTAACAAAGGGTTATATAGTTGCCAAAAATCATGCTTATCAAAAGGTCATTTAGTTGCAAAAACATGTTTATCAAATGGTCATTTAGTTTTTTTTAAAAATCATATTTATCAAATGGCGTTATAGTTGCCGAAAATCATGTTTATAAAATGGTCATTTAGTTCCAAAAACATGTTTTTCAAATGGTCATTTAGTTAAAAACATGTTTATCAACTGGCATTATAGTTGCTAAAAATCATGTTCATCAAATGGTCATTTAGTTGCAAAAATCATGTTTATCAAATGGTCATTTAGTTGCAAAAATCATGTTTATCAAATGGTCATTTAGTTGCAAAAATCATGTTTATCAAATGGTAATTTAGTTAAAGAAATCATGTTTATCAAATGGCATTATAGTTGCCAAAAATCATGTTTATCAAATTGTCATATAGTTGCCAGAAATCATGTTTATCAAATGGTCATTTAGTTACAAGATCATGTTCATTAATTGTCATTGAGATGACTATATTTTTAAAGATGGATACATGAAACCAGACACTTACTTCTTTGCTAGCATAATGTGGCTTCAATTTTTTAACAAAATATTTCCAGGAAGCTAACAGTTTGTTTTTGTAATCATGAGAGTTAACAGTGATAACATTAGTTAATTATGATAAAATGAGTTCATACATATAGAATGAGTTAATAGAGAAAACATTAGTTCATTGTGATAAAATGAGATACAGAATGAGTTGTTATGTCCAAAGTCTTTTATGATTTATGTTTAACTGTGTGATATATAGGGGATGAGACCAAAAAATATCTTAACTGTTTTCTCTTTTACACAACAGTCAAACATTTCAAGAAACATTGCCTTTATCCCGTTTCTAAACATTTCAATAGTGCTATCCATAATGTAATTATATGACAGGGCAGTTGCTGGTATAATGTATACAAGTAATTCCCCTGATAGAATTTATATATATAAAAATAAATTAATAAAAAGATTTGTTACATTGACTCCATACGATCTAAACCAAATTCACAATTTTACATAACTGCCGTGTCTTTTTCTTATTTGCTTTTTAATTTGTAATTCCTCCAACTATCTTTTACTTCTCCTTAACTTTGTTATTGTTAGGGACTTGTTCCCATTCTTAATATTGTCTTTTCTGTCCCTTCTAGGTTTAGGTAGGGTAGACATATATTATGTAAATTTAATTTATAATAATATTAATGTTTTTTTATTGTACTTGCTGAAACATTTGAATTTTGTATTTTGTCTAATCATTATTAAAGCGTAACATGCTGACATACGCTGTTTTATTTGACCCAAATTGTCTGTGTCTCATTAATCTACTTGAAAGCTTTATCCCATTGTGGTGTTTCTGCTGTGATTTTGTTTAGATAATACGCTGGTTCCAATTTCAGCAGATTATCCTGTCTCCAAACAAAAGTGGGTGATACACATATATTCCTCATTGTGGGGGGGGGGGGGGGGGGGNTCAAAGACTTGAAACTTGGTGAATGAATTCTCCTTAAAATTAAATTTTAGAACTTACAGTTCCAGATACAGGACAAAGAAGTAAAAAAAAAAAAGGGGGGGGGGTTGGGTTACACTCTATGAGGAAATAGTTCTAAGAGTTTGAATTTTGATCCATCCGACGTTTATATGGAGGGGTGACATTTACGGCCATCTGAATATTCTGAAGAGTTTTTCGTAAAGGGGGTGGCAAAAATATTGGCAAGCCCTGGGCGGCTCTAATTCTAGCTATGTCACTTTTTTAATGTGGCATTTTGATATTTTTAGTTTCGTTGTACTAATATTCCAATATCTCCAACCTGCCCCCCCCAGGCCCCTAGTTACGCTACTGGTAAACGCAGGCCTATGGTCTCATATGCTATAGGTTAAGCGTATGTAACAATATGGTAAAAGTATAATCCTCTCATATGGTATAACATATCCACTCATATGGTAATCGCAGTACTAATGCAGCATAAGGATGTTTTCTTTTTTCTGTGAGAAAAATTGGAGGCTAAATCAGTGTAAAACGATATCAACAATAACGTTACTCACTCACAGCCAAATCTAACTGAGCTTCATATGACTCAATCTAACTGGCACGATCATACGTTACTGACTCAACCAAATCTAACTGAGCCACATATGAGTCGATCTAACCGGCACAATCATACGTTGCTCACTCACAACCAAATCTGAGCCACATACGAGTCGATCTAACGGCACAATCATACGTTGCTCACTCACAACCAAATCTGAGCCACATACGAGTCGATCTAACCTGCACAATTATACGTTACTCACTCACAACCAAATCTGAGTCACATACGAGTCGATCTAACCTGCACAATTATACGTTACTCACTCACAACCAAATCTGAGCCACATACGAGTCGATCTAACCTGCACAATTATACGTTACTCACTCACAACCAAATCTGAGCCACATACGAGTCGATCTAACCGGCACAATTATACGTTACTCACTCACAACCAAATCTGAGCCACATACGAGTCGATCTAACGGCACAATCATACGTTTCTCACTCACAACCAAATCTGAGTCACATACGAGTCGATCTAACGGCACAATCATACGTTACTCACTCACAACCAAATCTGAGCCACATACGAGTCGATCTAACCGGCACAATCATACGTTTCTCACTCACAACCAAATCTGAGTCACATACGAGTCGATCTAACGGCACAATCATACGTTTCTCACTCACAACCAAATCTGAGTCACATACGAGTCGATCTAACCGGCACAATCATTCGTTACTCACTCACAACCAAATCTGACTGAGCTACATGTGAGTCCATCATCATATGGACCATCAACAAGTCTAGTCTTAATGTTTCCAATGATAAGTTTCAGATACCTTTGATGCTGTATACAATGTGATATACAATGCACCATCAGTCTTTCTTAAAAGCTTATGCAAACTTTTTTCTCAGACAGACCTAGCTTTATATATATATATAAAAAATATTGCCTCAAATAATGCCGTCCTTCAATGTGGTGGCCAAATTTGAATGCCACAGTTGATGAGACATCCAAATATGACGTACGCAAACCCTGCCCCCCCCCAAAAAAAAAACACCAAAAACAAACAAACAAAACAAAAAAACAACATCAAAATAT